GTAGCCTGCATCATGAGAAGGAAGCAGCGGCTGGTTCAACAAATGAATGAAGCTATATATACATATAGAGAGACAAAGAGGAGGGAAAAGCTGGTGACCCCAAGCCTGAGCGGCGTGGCGGAGCGAGACTCCTCCGGAATAACATTCTCCGCTTTCCTCAGCAATGGCAGCAACGACTCCCCCGCCTCCTCCGGATTATCTGCGTACGAACTCAACCCCGGCGTCACCTGTTGCATCCATTTGTTCATTCTTTACTCTTACCGTTCAAACTCATCATCAACATAAATCAAACTAATAAACAATGAACCTTGTAGTAGTACTCTAAACCGTTGCCGATGTAAAGCAGCTGCAAGCTCTGGTCGAATTGGAACACATGAATGCGAGTCCCCGTGCTGCCACCGTCCAGTATGACGGCGTATGACGAGTTGCTGGAGGAGCTGCTACTCACGCCGCTGGATCCCTGACGGAGAGCCCCCAATTTCCGATGCACATGGCCGTGGCACGACGGCGCTGTCCACACCACCAACAGGCACCATATCCACGCTACTCCTACTCGCCATTCCATGCTTCCACCACTTCCTTTCCTTTCCACACTCCTGCTCTTCTAGCCTCTCATATTGCCACGCTAGCTAATTTATATATTGGGCAGCTTCATCCTCCTCAAAGGGGATTCTATTTTTTTTTAAATACAGGGGGCTAATATTTTAAATTATTAAATTATATAGACCGAATTACGTTGAATTAAAATTTAGAGATTGGATTTGGCAAAAAGAGACTAGTCTCTTGTATGACAAACTAAAATTCAAATTCTATTGAAAGAGGTGTTTATATTTAGTGTTCCACAGTGTTTCGAGTAAAATATACCCCAATAAAAATATATATGTGCTTAACAAAAAAAATTTAAGAGTTGAGTTATAACCATGAATTAAAGTTATAGATACCAAGAGTCTGTTTGACTCAATGAGAGGAAGGAAAGGGAAGAGATTTTAATGGAGGAAAGGGAAGGGGAAGAGAGTGGAAGGAATTTAATATTACCTTGTTTAGATTTATAAAAAAGGAGGGGAGGGGAGGAGTTTTAATATTATCTTGTTTGGTTCATGAGGGGAGGGAAGGGAAAAATATTTTAACATAGATAATTTTGCCCTTATTTTATTTAATATTATTTTTTCAAATTTTATAGAATGTTTAATAAAATAGAATTGTAAATAACATTTAATATATTGAGCAATACTTATACCAAAATTCTAATATACTCAAAAGCATGAAATATCATTGAAAAGAAAGTTGAAGTAATATTCAGCCACAACTTGTCTTGCATCCCATTTTTGAATAAAATATTTGGTCATGCAAATAAGAGAGTGGCGTCTGGAGACAAGAAGAAAATGATTAGTATAGAGATATTAAAAATAAATATAGGTATAATGATCATAACATGGTAAAATATTACCTTTTCTATCCAAATCCTTCCAATTTTTGAGGGGAGGGGAGAGGAAAATTTTTTTTCCTCTCCTCCTAAAATTTGTGTATTGTCAAATAAAAAAAAATTAAAATCCTTTCCTCTCTCTCCTTCCCTCCAAATTCGCCATTCCAAACCCACCCTAAGTCATACCAAATTGAAATCGAAGGATGGAGTTACAGCAGAGTCAAAAATTAAGCGGACAAAAAATTAATTTTCTCTTTGTACTTTTTAATATATTGTACCTGACTATGATTGATGACGCGTCACGCGATGCTCTGAAAGGCTTCCAATAAAGCTGTGTTGCTCTTCAACCGACGGTCCCCTTTCAAGAATAGGCGGACAAAAGTGAGCATATTCATTAATGGACATACGGCCTGCTATAACGAAGAAATGGCTTCTCTTTGCAATTGATCTAGCGGCAGTTTAGGCCCAAGCGTCGCATCTCATCAGATCTAAGACCTTTGATATTACGGGGTGTTTGGATAGAAATCAAACTATAATTTCAGAAGTACTTTTATAGTTTACGAAGTAAATATGTAGAGAAATTTGTCTCATTTTGCAGAAAAATGCTTCCGAAACCATAGTTTGGAGGTTGCTAAACACCCCTTGTATATACAATCACACATGCACATAGAGTACCTCTTGTCTTTATTATAAAATATAGTTAACTAATTTAGAGAGATTAAAAAAATTAGTTAAATTAGTTATTTGTTATAAATAGGTGTTGTCTTTTCTAAAACATTATTGTTAATCATGCATATTACTTAGAGTTACCATTTTATAAAACATTTCATATGTACAACCACTTTACGGACTACTTTAAAAAAAATGAATAAATATAAAAGACAAAGTAAATTGATATCTCATATTTAAGATCAAATTAAAAGTTAAACAAACTCTTATAATAAGAAACAGAAGTAATATACATATATTTTGTCACTTTGACTTGATGCTCAACTCTAAGCCAAGAACTCCTCGCTACTCACAACACATATATCATCACATAGTACCAAGATCAGATCACTTGTTATTATTACTTGTCCAAGCCAAGCTTGTTGATTAAAAATTACTCCTCTTATTTTAAATATAAAACCTATTTTATAATATAATTTATAGTATAAAATTAATTTTATATTTAAAATCGGAGGAGTAATTATTTGATTGAGACGATGGAGCCATGATTTGGCACCTACAATAATTAATTATATGTCCCCGCTCATATATATGGTCAATTACTTCTCAGCTTTTTTTTTTTTTAAAAAAAATAAACTTGCGATGCGTATGGCGCCATGAGAGATCTTATCGCTTGTTCAGAGATTGCGACCATAAAAATTAAAATAAGGAACACTTGGTTGTTATTTTTCAGCTGAGGCCAACAATGGCCGTGCGGGGCCAATTCTTGAACCGCACTAGCCTTTTTTTACGCCCCGCCTATTTGTCTCCTACCTATGTGCCAAACATGTGCAAAACATTGCCTTATTGTTATTAATTTATTTTCTAAAAATTGTGCTTATTTATTACGACGAATAACTTTGCGCCATACATATATAGCTGAAAGAAAGAGATAGCCTTTTAAAAAGCTCTTAAAGGTCGCGGGAATATTTTTCTAACATATAAGTTGATCCCATTAAATTGTATACATAAATATAAAATATCCACAGGAATCAAACTACATTTGTGTGCGGCCAAATGAGACGCGTAAAAGGTATTAAAAGCATATAAAAGTTACATAAAGCCATATGGTGGTTGGAGGATGCTTCGTTAATGATATACTTTTGATAAGAACTTTATTGTTGTCGGCCTAAAAAATGGTAAGTATTTTACCTGTAAATTGAAATTTTGCTATTGATTGACTTATTAATAAACAATTTATAATTTATAAACATATTTATAAGTTTTTTTTTTCAGTCTAGAGATTTGTTGTGATGTTTCATTAGTTTTTTGGAACCCCACGTAACCTTTTGAATAAAAAAAAAATTACTATATGGCCAAGTGTGAATTTTATATTTTACGGAGAATTTCTTTGAGGATCTACAATGTGACAAATTAGTGGATTATAATCACAGTTTTTAAATTTCACCGTAGGACCAAACGACTAAAAGTCTGTTTAGGATAGTATTTAAAAACACCTATAAACACTTTTTGTGTAAATCGATAAAATGTCTCAGATGGATGGACAACATGATTTTGCATAGATTGTTATGGACCCCAGTCCAAGCTCCATCGCTAGTGGCTCACTCTCTAGTGTCGAAGATCACTCCTTGCAACAAAGAGCGATCGCTAAGTAAGAACCACGTGAATGTGGAGGACAATTGATTCAGCGGCAGTCGTGATTTCCTCCTGAAGCAGTCATACTCGTTCAGATTCAAACGAAGCTTTGCGTCAGAGAGAAGGGGGATAGAGTCGGCGACAGCGTCGTTATGGTGATACCATCGAAGGGGAAGCAATAGCAACTTCTGGAGCAAAAGGTCATCATTTTTGTTGTTGGCAACATTGACAGCAACGGGATTAGCAGCTTGCTTGTCGAGCCGGCTGAGGTGTGGCAACCTTGAAGCATTGCTGCCATCGAAGAGATACAACAAGAGATAAAGAAAGAAAAAGTAGAAAGCATATGCAAGAGAAGATATAGAGGGTGATAGCGGAGGGAGAGAGAGAGAGTATAAACTGTGAAAGTGAGATCAAAGTGTTCGCTAGAGTGGGGAGAGGCACTCAGTGGAGGAGGAAGATGGTTACTTCCTCAGTTTTGTTTTTTGTTTTTTGTTTTTGGGATATGCTTACTCAGATTTTAGTCAAATGCCATATCATCTCTAGTCAATTGAAACTAACGGCAGAAGCACAGAAGGATTAACATTAATAACAGTGTAAACAATAAGGATTGGATAAAAAGAAAAAAAACTGCAAGGACCTAATTTAAAATTGGGTGAAACTATAAGGATTGACAAATTAATTCTCCCTAATATTTTATTTGATATTGACAACACAGAATTTGTAAATGATAACAATTTTTTGTTGACATTCTTATCTGGTATGCAGTAATTTTAGCTTCTTTTTTTTGTTATTTTTCCCTAAAATAAAACACATAAAAAATAAATACATTTTTTATTTAATTATTCTGATAAAAATTAAAAATATATAACTCAATTGAGTGTCAAGTTATGGATATAAATAAATGGTACCGGTCACGTGGGTCGTTTTGTTAATTAAGCGTAAAAAAAAAAAGATTCGAGGTTCAAAGTTTGGGAAATGTACGTTACCTAGATTTTGGGTGTGAGAGTCGATCGAAGGCGCGTGGTTGAGCGGATGAAGATACGGTTTCAATTAATGTCTCGCATCAAAATATTCTTTTCTATTTATATACTAATAAATTTAAATATATAACTTTCCCATCAAGTTATTTTCACACCAAAAATATCGAGTCTGAATCCCTTCTCTGTTGCAAAACGTAGAGAGTCAAAAACCAAGTAAAAAAATTTCGTCGCTAAGTTGTATAGTTATTTGAAATTCCGTCCTAATTGCATCTAGGTTGCTTTGTAGTATGTGAAGCTGAACAAAACCATCCAAATTTCTTTTTTCTTTCTTAAACAGAAAAGAGCACTCAGTTTTTGCAAAGCAGCATGACGTTAAACTGATAAGAAATGTTTCCATGCATACATTTCTTCGAGATATAAAAAGATTGCTCTTATTACTTCCACCTCATATGGCCAATATGGAAACATCTGATCATCAGCTGCTGAAGGCTAAGAAACGGGAAATCAAACAAAGTACAAGAGCCGATCAAATTTGGGTAAAGATGATACGGCTTCAATGGCGGTGCCCAGTGGCCAGGTTGCTTCTACCAGATGATCTTTATACTTCACTTGCTTCACCACCGTCACTTCTTGCCATGGATCCAGCCCTGCCACACCACACAATCATTTTATATACTAATTTATGCAATTATCAGTGCTCACTCATCTACATTATTATATATTGTTGATTTGAATTATTAATAATTCAAGATCCTCCACCAACCAGATATTTCGTTATATATGAAAACCTACCAAACCCATCAACCAGCAAGGTGTACTGGTATACAAGATCCAGGCACGCATATTGAAGCACATTGTCCTTCATCAGTGGGAAGGTGGATTTGGCTTCCTCTAATGCTGTCTTGCAAGCAAGCTCGGCCGCAATCTTATAATCCACGATTCGAACTTTGTCGCTGGGCTTCTTTATATCGGCAATGCCAGACTATATAATGAATGAATTGCATTGCAAATCCATGAGTGATTGTTATAATTACCATTCACAGGTTGAATATATATAACATAATGTTATTAAGTATATACCTCAGTAGCCAAGTAATAGAAAGAAGTGGCGAGGTAGAGGTTTTTCTGGCCAGGTCCTCCTCCACCGTTCCAGATGCCACCAAATGTGCAGTTCTCGTTTGGGCATGTGGCGTTCACATTGAGAGCCTTCAGAACTGTGTTTCTGCATTCACTGAAGCTCGACCCGCCAGGCATGGCTGACGCCTGGTATTCCACTCCTCCGTATACATAAGACCCTTTCCAATTTCAAATATGAAAAGCAACCAAATTTAGAGATTGCTTTATTCCCCAAGGCACACATCTGTAGAGTATATATTAATTCTAAAGGAAAGCTTGGTCGTAATTACCATTAAAACCAGCTAAAATACAAGGGTTGTTAGAACCACGGGTCACCTTCAAGATCTCTGCACGAGATGCTTCTTTCCCGTAGTGCAAGTAACTGATGAAAGCAATATACATCAACATAAATATATCGATCGAAATAATGAAAATCGAAGTGGGTGTTGATGATATATTATACCTGTGAACATAGACGGAATACTTGGTTCCCTTAAGGTACATCCGGGTTACGTAAGGGTCGTCTCCTTGTTGAGCGTTGGGAGCCTTGGCAGCATTTTCCTCTGAGATGGCATATGCCATTTGAACTGACCCTCCTCCCAGATCAACCACTCCCACTGTCTCCCCATATTCTTTTGCTAAGTTTCCCAGTAGATAGTTTATTGCCACCTGTATTGTTCACTTCCATCTCAGATATGCCTTCTTCTCACTATTGTTTGAGCTTAAACATGTAATTAATAATACCGTTGACTGTGACGCTGAGGCGCCACTTCTTAGGACTCACTCTACACCACTTTGGTCCTCTCTATTACGTAGATAAAATATTTTCCTTTTATTTTTATTAAAAAGATTTGTATATTGAGAAAAAATATGATAAATGCTAATATACTTTCTCCTACCTATTCTCTCTTTCTTCATCTTTATTATACTTCATAAGAACATACTTAAAAATAAAACATTAAAAAAATATAAATAACAAATAAAAAAAAGACTAAAATCTGTTTTCCAAGTCATAAATAATAAGAATACGAGTGATATAACGAACAAATTTTTCGTTCTTTGGCCATCTTTGTTAGAGCCGAGGGTTCTGATTAATAAATCCCACAATGTAATCTAAGCGTGGATCGATCTGGGGATAAGGACGTCGTTGTGTACAGCTGTACAATATTCTTCTCCAAAGGGGTAATATTATTCGGTTGACTGTAGCCTGTAGTACGTAAATAGAATCCCAGAGGCAGGGCTCTTTAATTTACTGAGCTGGCTGTAGAGCTGGGAACCAGGGTCGGCCCTTTAGGACTGACGGATTTAAAAGGGCCGGCTTTTCAGAACTAAAATTTTAAAAATACCCTAATTTGCTAGGCCCGGTCCTTAAGCTACAGGACCAGCCTGCGGGCTTTTGGCCCGTTTAAGAAAAAATACTATTTTTTATATTTATCATGTTTTTTTATAAAAATATAAAAATAAACCAATAAAATTATTAATAAAAGACATAAATATGAATAAAATTAAGTCACAAATATAAAATATCATCATATATAAATATTCATCAACATCTAAGAACATCTAAAACATTCATTAACAAGATAACAACATCTAAAAGTTTTATCTATAATGCAATTGTGCAATAAATAAACACTATCATTAATCTTTTGAAATTTCATCATCACTATAATTAATTACTTTTCTTTGTAAGTATGCTTTTTTGTCGTAACAAAAATATCAAGTTTTTCTTCTTTATAAGAATTTTATTTTTAAATTTTACAATCTAACTATTATTTTACTTTAATGTGAGAAACATTGTTGTTGAAACTCATGAATTTCTAATTCAAATTATAGAGTCACAAGTTATATAAGTATAAAAATATTCTATTATCAAATATATATATAGTTTAAAAATATCAACGCATATAATATAAATCAAATCATTATTAAAGTCCAAATTAACCTATTTTTTAAAATTTAATTGGATAAATTATTGTCTAAAACTAAATTTAATTTTAAAATGATAATAATAACTAAATATTTGAAATATTATTAACAATGTAAAAAATTAATAACATTAATATTATATAAAAAAATTTAAAAAATAAAAAAAATTATAAAAGGGCTTAAAAGGGCCGGCCCTCGGCCCTCTAGAGTTGGCCCTTTTAAGTCCTCGGCCCTTCAGGGCTAGCCTTTCAGGGCTTATTTTTTATTTTAAGAAAAAAATATTAAACTCGGCCTTTATAATTTCAGGACTTAAATGGACCGGCCCGATGGGCTCGACCCGTTTTCCTGGCTCTAGCTGGCTGGACTCTGGATCACGCGTCTACTGGGATGCTTTTCTGAATTCGTACTATCTTATCTTTTTTTTTTTCCCCCTTGCCAAATTCGTACTATCCTATCTAATACCATAGGCCGTAATTAAGAACCCGACACTTGCATCTAAGCAGTGACCAAATTTTGAAGCGTATAATGTAATGACTAATTTAAATTCCACTCAGTCACGGGACTCAGTTTCAACCTGTTTCACATATACAAAATAAAATTTTAAATTTTATTAAATTTTATTTGAAATTTAACAACTTTTTAATTTTACCTATCATACTTTTTTAGAACAAAATGAACATAATAATAAATGATAGATAAAAAAATGTATTATTTATATGAAAAGTTTTTCTTTCTTCCTATAAATAGAACTGAAAATTTTTTTCTTTTTATTCTATATCTTATAAATAGAACCCAAAAAAAAAAGTGTGTTTCCATGAACGGATCGTCGTTTTGAACTTAAACTAGAAACAACTCTATGGATAGAGGTTTCACGAATCATACCCATAGATAAGAGCCTTCCTGGGTTCCACCAATAACAGCAACAGCATCAGGCTCGAGTTTTAAAGTGCTTCTTTCCTTGAACATATCCCTGACCTAATAAACAGAGGTATGAGAATTAATGAAAACTGCGAATATTATAAGAAGAGAGACTGATGGTGATGGAGCAACAAAATCAATTCGTTACCGCCTGCAAGATCAATTCAGAAGCATTTCCTTTCAGAAGTCTCAAACCTGCGGTTGCCTGCACTTGTACACATGCATAAATACACAGTTACGTACGTTGATCCATATATATTATCAGAAAAGCATAACATATATATTTTGACTCTGATTTGATGAGGCATACCCCAAGTTTGAGGGGAGTCTTGTGGTGCACCCTCTTGGGAACAACACTCTCGGCTTCCTCTAAAAGTGGAATGAGAGATTCAGCAGCTTTTTCTGGGTTCTCAGCATATGCACTCAAACCCGGTTTAACCTGCAGCCAAGAAGAACACCATGCATGCATCATATTACAGTGAAGCGATCAAAGAAGCAAACGAAGGTAATTATTAGTATTAAAGAAAAAGTGAGAGTAAGAAAGGAGACCTTGTCGAGAAACTCAAGATCTTGGCCGATGGGAAGGAGGTCTAGGATCTGGTTGAAGTGGAAGACATGGACACGGCTACCAGTACTACCGGCGTCGAAGATGACAGCGTAGGAGGTTGTGGGTTTCGGAGATTTACGATGCAGCAGCATCGGTTGCATCTGGGAAGAGCAGCAAGGAACTAAGCATATTATTAGCATTAACGCAGTTAACACTTGTGACTCCATTATGCCAATCCCTCACCCGCCTCTCTCTATCTCTGTTTCTAACTTCGCCTCAAGCCCATCCCCACGGCCTCCTTTATATAGAGATGAAATATAGTTCTAGCTTTATGATCACCTCTTATGCTTTATTCAATTATTGATCCTTTTAGCGAAAACCAATTCAATAAACAATTGTCATGTGCGGACGTACATATGGAATTTATTTATTTACTTATCTGGCGTGATATATATGATATATATGCAGAGTCAACTTTATTATGATTACGAGATTATCCTTTCGCACTAATTCTAGAAGGCAGAAACAATTACATCTGAAGGCCCACAAATTATAAATTTCTATAACTACCCGGGGGGGGGGGGAATGTTGAGAAGTGCCAAGTTGGGAGGGTGATCGATTTTTTCTCTCCTACACTTGGAAAAGCACGAGAAAATGGAGAAGAAAAATTATTAAATTCAACAAAGGTAACCGTGCTATTTCTAGAATAATGTTAATTTACACATAATAAAATTGATTTTTCATATGTATGAATAAATAATTTCAGTAATATGTCACTAAATGAAGCGAGATATAATTTTGATTTAAATTTATAATTATTTTATGTCATTTTTACATTTTACTATTAAAATTTTCTAAAATTATATCATATCAATATTTGTATTTAAACTATATTTTACAGAGAGAGAAAGAGAGAGAGAACGTGAAAAAAATTAATGAAACGATTTTAAGTTGAAAAGACAAAAAAGAGCATGTAGGGCTCACGTGTTCTTTTCGTCTTACTTTTCAACACCCAACACGACAGTGTAAAAGTTTGATTATTAGTACATCCAAAACAACATTTCGCAACCAGTGCTCACAGGCATCTTAAACTTATCAAATTTAGGTTATTTATATTTTTATTTAGATAATTTGGATTTGATTTCATTTTTATTTTTATTTATTTAAAATGATTATTTTAATATAGATAGAATCTACAATAAAGATAATCTATTAACTATAATTCTTTTAAAAAATAATTCTTTTTAAATCAGGACTGTTTAAATAAGATATAGACGATTCAAATTTGATGAGTTTAGAGTACTCATTAAGATCATAATCACTGACAGGCCATCCAAGCTTTCTGATATAGACGTTAATGAAGCAAGGTATTTGATTTGCCTCTTGGGGCTGCTTATGAGTTATTCGTTTTTTCATTAAATAATTAAATTTCACGTATTGGTTACTCACTATTGGGGTCACTTTCCCTTAAATATAATCTGACCATGCGGGCAAAAAGAAAATATAATCTGACCATATCGGAATTAAGTAATTAATTAATTTGGTGGGATAAATTGTTCGCCAACAAAAAAAAAAGAAAAAAAATTGGGAGGGGAAAATTTTGTGGAGGTGGTGGGAAAAGCAGGGGCTGGACTTAAGGTGTGTTTGGATTAGCGGCAGAGAAGTAACTTTTTTTTCAATCTGACTTTTACAGAAGTCAGATTGGATAAAAGCAGCTTTTTTGAGCTTATTGTATAAGTCCGTTTCAGTGACAGAAGTCAGATTGCAAAAATGTGATTCCAAACACATCCCAAATCAAAAAAAGCTCTTTTTGCCGGTAAAGAAGTCAGTTTGAAGGTCTAGATGTGATTGCAAACACACCCTTAATTTGGAGGGAACAAGATTGATTGACAGGCCTTGTGGCCCCCTTTCAATTACCAATAAAAACAAAGGGGAGTGCTGGATCTGCCCTTCTCGGGTCGCGGATCGACTCGCACCTTAATATTTAATATTTTGCATTCACATATGATTTCACGTGGTTTCATTTTATGCAAGCTCAGATTTGTTCCTTTCCGTAAAAAAAAAAAAAGGAAGCTCAGATTTGTTCCTTGTTGCCCTTTTTTCGGGTTCAACAGGAAATTTATAATTTTATTTCTCTATTTTAGTTTTTTTTAATAGCACAATTTTGTCTATAATTTTTTATTTTGCTGCAATATTGTACAAATAAAAAAAATAGGAACTGCCAACGAAGGTTAGTTTTAACAGAAAGGGTTGATTCTTCACAGGTTTGAATTCCCACTGAGAGATGCGGCTGCATTTAGTGCTCAACAGTATTTTGAATAGAAACTTATCTATACTTAGCAAAAAAAATATCAGGATACTAGTGTACAAAATAAAATTAGAAGTGAAACTGAACCCTTAGTTAAGAAAATTTAATCATTTACTGTCTGGCCCAAGAGATAAATAAATTATAGCTAGAATGCAACACTCTGGCCAAAGCTCCTCAATTTGAAGGGAGGAGGAGGTAAGATTTTGGAAAAATCATTTAAAAACAACTGTCAAAATAAAAAAAAAATTATAAATAGGAACTCATAATAATATTAGTATAAGTTTTGACAACAATAGTATGTATGGTAACAATAATTTTTGTAGATAAGTGCTATATGTAATTTTTTTATTCTGACAGTCTTTTTTTTATAATTTTTCCTAAGATTTTTAACCACCATTTTTGTTTTTGGTGAATTAACCACCATTTTTTTAATACAAACAGAAAGGAGGGTCGATCAGTCATAATTGTTTATAGAAAGAGGATACTTATACTCGAAGGAAAAAAAAAACTTCCTGACCAAACATTGGATTAGAGTAATAAACTAATCAATAAAAAATAAAATAATAACGATGATCAGTAAAAATCAGGAATGAGGTAATGAGTGGGATGCAACCATGACATTCACGTTTCTTTCTTTTGGCCGCGGTACACGATTAAATAATAATGGCAAGCGCCGGTCTTCGTAGTGATTTTGTCCGTTCACAATAATGACTTCTTTGGTGTCCCCACCACAGTTGTGCTGAGGCAAGATTAAAAAAGAGAAATTCTTACAACATCCTCTCTAAGAGTATCACATCATCTATACTCTCTCTAACTAAAATGCAACAGCTCACTCATTTTTATCCTAACTACTAGCTTATGTGTTTTACTTAATTTATATTATTTTATTTTTGAAAAATAATGCTTTTAAAGTGAAATACCAATTTGAATAAATTATTTTACTTCACAATTCGTTAATTAAATCTCTCCTCCATCTTCATCTTCTTCGACAAAATAGAAAACCTCATACTCCTCCGGTTCTTAATATAGGATCAATTAGTGAGTTGGTTTTGGTCCTAAATATAAGACCTATTTTTCATATTTATCAATTTTTTTAAATTACCCCTATAGATATTCCCTCAACTATAATCAAGTAGAAGAGAGAGAGGGATTATTAAGAAAGATGATTATGGTGTTTTAAGAAAAATGTGTCACTTTTCTTATAATTAACTAACTTACCTAATTTCCTTAATCTAATCAAATTAGTTAAATGAGTCTTATATTAAGGACCGGAGGAGTATTTTCTACTCCTCCGGTCCTAATTATAAGACCCAATTGACTTATTTGAAGAGATTAAGGAAGTAAGTTAAGTTGGTTATTTATAATAAATAAGTATTGTCATTCCTAAAATATCCTTACTAATTAAGTATATTGGCTAAAACTATCATTATTATAAGGATTATCTTGGAAAAAAATGCATAAATATAAGAGACAAAATGGATTGGGGTCTTATAATTAGGACCAAATAAAAAGTCAAATGGGGTCTTATAATAAGGACCGGAGGAGTATTATGAAGCTCCGTTGCTAATAAGGGTTGTTGGGTAACCACTCTTTTTCTTCTCTTGTTATTTGTTGATGGCACCTCGCTGCTAAATGTGGTCGCTTTTGATTAGTTAGCAAACTAGCTGATGGCTTTGCCTTCGGTCTCAATCGTACCTGTCGAGGAAATCAATTTCTTCGGTCTCAGACTCCATGGTTTCTACACTGTTCGGTCAACTCCGACGTCTTTAACTTCTTCGTTCCTCCTCTTTTTACCTCCAACCTCATTGTTAGTTTCATTGTAGTCAACTTTCTCCAAAGGTTGAGGTTGGTACTCTTGCTTCTGACATTTCTCCCTGAGATGAAAATCAGATTGTTTTTATCACCAGAGATAGGATAAAAAAAGCGATGGTTGCTCTTATTGTGTTTCTTGCCGCCCCGTTTCAAGAAAGGGAGAGAGAGGTTATGGAGAGGCTAAGACTTCACCAGTGCAGCAGCCACACGAAACCCCCTGTTACCTGTTAGCGACACAGTTTCTTACGAAAAAAAGACAAGATTCTCTAGGATAAGAGAGAGATTTGATGAATAAACTAATTAAAATAGTTTATGCAAATTGGATTTTACTTTAGATACATTATTATTTCAAAAGTAAAGCAATATAAAACAAGCAAATAACATAAAAGTTGGCGGCTTTGATACCAATTATATGAGCTGTTATATTTTGATTGGAGAGAGTATAGATGATCTGGTACCCTCAGAGCATGTAAGTATTTTTCGATTGAAAAAACCCAGCACCACGAAGAGCCTGAGTTGTTCGATGCGATAGATATGCCACGTATTTATTACTAGTTTCATTTATGCCTTGCTAAAAATCGTTAATTATCGTTAATCATATGTTACCATTTTTATCAGTAAATGTACCTCGTTTTTATAGTTTACTGAGTTGTAAATGTTTTGTAGTATTTTCTTAATTCATCCAATTATGAAAAACGCTTTTAATACATTGACTCACCCAATCCATTAGTTTGTGACTTGACGTAGGGGATAAAAGAAGGGTTGGAATCTGTTTCATGGTTATAACCAAAGTTTAACACATTTTTCTCCAAAATCAATCAATTTGAAGGTAGAAGGATGGAAGATTTTTAACCTCCAGTTTTTTAATCCCGAAGGAGGGATCTTCCAAGACTTTCCCGTCAAACATGGGATTAGAATAATAAGATAACCAATCACGAGGGTAATAAAATAATCGCGATAATCAATAATAAAGCATAAAATAACTTTTTTTGGCAATGAAGCAATCGTATATTGTCCGCTGATGTGAAACGATATTCACGTTTTTGGCCGTGATAAAATAAAATAATAGGGGCTATCTTTCTAAAGTCAAGTAAAAAAAAACTATAGGCATGCCTTTCTTCGTTGATTTTGACTACTCCCT